GATCAGGAACACATGACGTCGACGATTATTGGTCACTAAAAATCGACCCGTTATTGTTAAGAATGCAATGTAGGTGTGATGGTTGTTTCTGCGTATTTGTTACCTGTTACTTATTAATCAACAGGATCATAATGTTGATTGTATCGATAAAACATGGATTTTAAGGCATAAGTAAGCATTGTTGAGCTCTGAAACCAAGTTTAATCGATTTCTCGTGCAATTTTAGGTTAGGAATAGTCATCAAAATAAGTTTATAACAATGTCGATATTTTGGTAAATTTCTAGCTTTCTGTCAGAAAATAAATTTACGGTTTCTATAATAGGGGGTAATAAGATATAAACTACAGTACAGCTGTACTTACACCCACATTCACAAGCATGCAAGCTCACCTGGTCCAATGAGCAGGAAACGGAGAACAAGCTCTGGTGACGTCACAGTCGCGTGACCTCAGGCTCATAATCACGTGACCTCAGACCCAATCAATTGGGTTCTGGCCTGGTCAGCTCCCTGTCACCCGATATTGAGGTGACGTAGAACACCTCGTTAACTCAATCAATGTCTGGAAGGCTGCAAATTTTCACATGCCAAACTCACAAGGGTCTTACGCCCTTACGGAGTTGTGCGAGATGACGATACATAGAGGCCGCAGAATTATGAGGACTACCAGATCCTGGTGAAACCTAAGCGATCCATGATATCACGACAGGCCCTAGTGACAATATTATACACAACAGTAATATGTGAATCAATTGTGAACGATCTCAGACTTATAATAAAGTGATTCATGAAGGAAACATCACGTAAACCGTAAAAATGGAACATGCACAATCACTACAAGTTGGTGTCTAACTGAACTCAATTGTTATTTAGCATAATTGATAATTGTAGACTAAGCTGAGAGATATTTGTTCAGTGACATTAAATCATGAGATTTGGAACAATGATAACATTGATCAGCTTCTTACAGTAAGATTCATGACTAGCCCTTGGTTGAGCAAACTGGTTACGCGTACGCAGCTCCAAACAATTAAATCTATATCATAGCATATCTTAGCGAACTCAATATGGACAATAGATCATACGCTAATAAATATTGACCACGCACCACACACTTCTTGATATATGCACAAACTATATCAATCTATTTTCATGTTTGCCAGACCGCAACCAAGTGGCAACAGGGGAATTAAAATTATGCTGAAAGGTTCTTAAATTTCCAAACGCTGGTTGCTAGATGTCAGAAAATTGGTTTAAAAATTATCCTAAACGTTTTGAAGTTTCTGATGTCGTGCACCTGCCATTGAAACCTTACCTGTGATTTTGTGATAGGGACCCGGAAATAGCCGTTGGATCACAAGCAGAAAACACTCGTCGAACTAGAGTACGCTACCTGAACTCTAGTTTGACACGTACCGAAGTTGGACAGGGGTGATTTCTGACGAACTTAAGTTGTCCAACTAAAATACGTGTATTAGTATTTTAGATTAATAGTTTCGTTGAGAAATACCCCAGTCTAGAGGAGTACTACTGCAGGAACCCTGATAATGAACCAGCTGCCTGGTGTTACACTACTTCCAGTAAGAGGTGGGACGTGTGTGGGGTCCCTACCTGCGCAGAACAGAGGGCGCAGGAGGTGTTGGAGACGGAGAGGGCCAGGGAGGAGGACGTGTTCCTGTTCGGGGAGAGTAAAAGGGCGACTGTGACTCTAGAGGGGGCTGGTGTGAAGCTTACTACTCGTGAAGATCTGGGAAGTTTTTACTGTGGGGGTACTTGTGAGTGGGTGTTCACTACCGATATAGATGATGATGCCTTGTGGGATATCATCTCCTTCAAGCAGGATCATTACCAATGTTACAAGATAGAGAAAGCCAGCGGTTACCACGCCGGGGAGAGCATGGCACCCGGAACGTCAACTAATGACTTGCGTAAGGGGGGACTTCTTGAGGGGGAGTTCCTGGTTCAGACCGATAGGTGGAGTGGGACAGAAAGGGAGTGTTGGGAGTTCGTACCTGTAGATGGCGAGGAGGGCTCTTACAAGATCAGGAAGAGGTTTGGAAGTCAGAGTGATAAGTTCTTGGGGGCTCCCCCTGTCACCTTCAAAGACGCTGATGTTCCCAAAACGAGGAGATTCGTGAGAGTTTCTAGCGAGGACTCTGATAATGTGTGGAAAATAACAGCTGTTTAGATTTTTATGTTTAAAACCGAAAATTTACTTTTAGATGGACATTAAAATAAAATGTGCATGTTTCTTTTGAAACATTGACAGAGTATCAATTTTCGGGTCATACGTATTTTATTGTAAACTTAGAAAAGATCTGAGTAAAATTGAGTTTGATTTAAAATCTTTAATTGTGGTTTTGCTTGAAAGTTGAAGATTGATGGAGTTTACCCAAATATTTTGATGTTTATTCTATTAAATAATATTTCATGGATATGCTTTTATTTTGTATAATTATACAAGCAAAATCACAAAAGTGTTCAACTATGATCTCATCCTCCACAGCATCGTACACCTGACTCCGAATTAGGGCCGAACACTCCAGAGAGCTTCCATTTACAGGAGAGCTCTCGATCGTCTCTGGGTTCATAATAGAACTGAGGCATCGGTTCAGAAACAGTTGGAGTCGGGATTAAGGGTGATAACCCTATAAGGCAAACTGTTGCTCCTCATCCATCCAGTTGAATGTGCTGAAACCAGCACAAACTGGGTCCTCCTCCTCTCGTTCTCCACTCCAAACTAAGGTAAAGCACCCCAACGAACTGCTAATAGCAGGTGGACTACTCCTCTCGTTCTCCACTCCAAAAGGTAGAGCACCCCAACGAACTGCCAATAGCAGGTGGACTACTCCTCTCGTTCTCCACTCCAAAAGGTAGAGCACCCCAACGAACTGCTAATAGCAGGTGGACTACTCCTCTCGTTCTCCACTCCAAAAGGTAGAGCACCCCAACGAACTGCCAATAGCAGGTGGACTACTCCTCTCGTTCTCCACTCCAAAAGGTAGAGCACCCCAACGAACTGCTAATAGCAGGTGGACTACTCCTCTCGTTCTCCACTCCAAAAGGTAGAGCACCCCAACGAACTGCTAATAGCAGGTGGACTACTCCTCTCGTTCTCCACTCCAAACTAAGGTAAAGCACCCCAACGAACTGCCAATAGCAGGTGGACTACTCCTCTCGTTCTCCACTCCAAAAGGTAGAGCACCCCAACGAACTGCTAATAGCAGGTGGACTACTCCTCTCGTTCTCCACTCCAAAAGGTAGAGCACCCCAACGAACTGCTAATAGCAGGTGGACTACTCCTCTCGTTCTCCACTCCAAAAGGTAGAGCACCCCAACGAACTGCCAATAGCAGGTGGACTACTCCTCTCGTTCTCCACTCCAAAAGGTAGAGCACCCCAACGAACTGCCAATAGCAGGTGGACTACTCCTCTCGTTCTCCACTCCAAACTAAGGTAAAGCACCCCGACGAACTGCCAATAGCAGGTGGACTACTCCTCTCGTTCTCCACTCCAAAAGGTAGAGCACCCCAACGAACTGCTAATAGCAGGTGGACTACTCCTCTCGTTCTCCACTCCAAAAGGTAGAGCACCCCAACGAACTGCTAATAGCAGGTGGACTACTCCTCTCGTTCTCCACTCCAAAAGGTAGAGCACCCCAACGAACTGCCAATAGCAGGTGGACTACTCCTCTCGTTCTCCACTCCAAAAGGTAGAGCACCCCAACGAACTGCTAATAGCAGGTGGACTACTCCTCTCGTTCTCCACTCCAAAAGGTAGAGCACCCCAACGAACTGCTAATAGCAGGTGGACTACTCCTCTCGTTCTCCACTCCAAAAGGTAGAGCACCCCAACGAACTGCTAATAGCAGGTGGACTACTCCTCTCGTTCTCCACTCCAAAAGGTAGAGCACCCCAACGAACTGCTAATAGCAGGTGGACTACTCCTCTCGTTCTCCACTCCAAAAGGTAGAGCACCCCAACGAACTGCTAATAGCAGCTGAGGAGCTGGAGGACTGCATATCTGATCATCATCACTATCACTCCACTCGATTGACGATAAGCTAAGATCGGCGATTTCAATTTAATACATGATATCGATGAGAATGAACTGCAGTTGAAATTAAGAAGCTCCTGAACACCATAAATTTTTGATTTTATTATCGTGTTGTAAATAAAAATTCGATACACAATATTATACACAACACTAATAGACTAATACTATACGTGAATCAATTGTGAACGAGCTTAGACTCAGAATAAAGTGATTCATGAAGGAAACATCATGTAAACCGTAAAAATGGAACCTGCTTTTTATTGCAGCCATTTTCCGTTATCTATATTGCCCTTCAAATCGAATAACATTAAAGTTATAACATCCATATTGTTACCAGGCTATATTAAACAATAAGAGAGGGGGGAAGGAGGGGGAGGGGGGTTACACTCGTTATGTTCATAAACATAATAGCCTGGTAAAGATTCGGCGGAATGACTGAGCGCCGCCCAGTAACCAGATTGTAGCTTTATAACTATAAGTTACATTAGTATTTAAAAACTTTACGAAGGTCTACATACCAGGTCACCGTATTAAGTTTGGCATTGCATGGGAAACTCTCAAAGTCAAACTTGGTCGTGACGTTTGTAGTGAGCTATAGTATCCGTACAAAATTCCCACAGACAGGTTTCTTGGATGGATATTTTTTTGGATTAATTTTCTCACAAACATAGTCATATTTTGAGCAGTTAGGATAGTAAAAATTGGTGACAAATATTCGGTTTTATCGTTTTCATAAGCAGAAATTAATCACAAAAAAGCTTATCAATGCTGAGATTTGAGTGAGACCATAAATTTGCAACGGGTGATAGTATTGTTTCTCAATCGTGAGTCCAATAGTACAGTTCAGTTGTTTTAAATTTCGTTGATAAAAAGAGAAACATCGTATTTTTTAAATGCAGAAAAATCTAAATATTTCGAAATTTAACGTCAACATCTAAAGATATAACTATATCTTACTTTTGAAAAACTAAGTCTTACTTTTGAAATGTTTTCTCTCAATCTTAAAAATATTTACTCTCAGTCTTTCTTTGATACAAGTTGTAAACCTCTTTTCGCACAACGAGTATCATGTCCTTCTTATTTCCGAATTCTAGTCCTTGTTCTTTTTTGGTTTCTTTACTTTCTTTACTTTTTTTACTTTTTTTTCTTTCTTCTTCTTCTTAACCAGAGTTATTTTGCCCTCGGCCAACTTCTTTCCATCTGCGCTAACTCCAATGCAGGCGATCTCTGATGGTGCATTTTTGTTTCTCTTTGTCTTGAATTTAGCTACAGAATACGTTGCCTCTCCTTTGCTGTTGGCAAACTTTGGTTTATCTGAAATTATATGTTAACTATTATAATACCTTACCGGACTTTATGTGAACAGACATTAATTAAACGCTGTTATAGGTCCCACATGGCTTTCACCTATTTTTAAATGCCGTTCAAATAAAGTTTGTCCGTTTACTAAAAAAAATGTTTCTGTTGCTTTAAACTTACCGCTGATAAGGTCCCCTTGCTTTCCATTCTTTATCCAGTAAAACTTCACCTCAGCATCAGCATCAAAAGCAGAATCCTTTATTTTACATACCAGGTTAGCCCTGTTCCTCTTGGGTGTAACTTCGTATTCTCCAAAGGAAACCTTTTCAGGACCAGCCTCAACCGTTTTAACACTGGTGACCTCCTCTTGTGTTTTGAAGCTAGCTCTAGCTTTGCATTTGTATATACCTTGCAAAAAACCCTAATGTTAGTGATACTGATATTTTGGTAATGTTATTACACCGACAAAAACAACAAACTTTGTCAATATTTAATTAAGTTAATTTTCCATTTCTCTCACCATCATTTCCCTCTGTTATTTTATTAATAGTGTACTCGAATTCATTGGCTCCCTCGATTTCCTCCCAGTTTTCCCCATCATCATTGCTAAACAACCACTGGACCTTAGCCTTCTGTACGGCAGCAGTACAAGATATAGTGAGGTTTGACAGTCTCTCGATGTCCTCATAAGATTCCTGTTCAGTTGACAACCAGTCTTCCACACATTTTGGACAACATTCACCATCCTCATATACTGGCAGTTCCTGGGTGTGCTATTATAACATGACATTTAAGTTAGAATTGATGTTGTCTTTTTTATAATCATGCAAAAAATAGTTTTTATTGGAAAATTTACTGACGTTGATTTGGAATCTTATTATGACTGGTTTTTACCTGAGCGGGACATGTTTTACATTTCATCTTCTCGCAAACGACTATTCCACCGTCCCTACAGACGCAATCTTTGCAGATGTCTTCATCGTCCCAGCTTGAACCAATCTACATTTTAAATACAGTTAATATAAACCTAAATGACCAGAACGGTCTCTTTATAGCTGGAGAGAGTCAGAGACACTAGAAATCTTACCCGAAATCTAAGAATATGTCCAATTTGTCCATAAACCTATGTAGTTTTCTATTCAATAGTGACTTTACTAAAAAGTAAAATAGCTGATGCCAAACAATCTATATCACTCCTTACCTCCTTAACTTCACCATCATGTTCACACTGACACCCACTTTCATCCACACACTCATCTCCAACCAAGAACATTCCCTTAGGACAGAAGCAGCCCTCGTTACACTGTCCCTCCTGTTTACCGCAGTCTGGGTCCTTGTCACCGCATGTTGCGGGACAAAAGGAACCACATGAGTCGTATGAGAACCCTTCAGGACATGTTAGAGCTGAGGAAATGATTATGAATAGAAGTTAAGATATGAAGGTTAGAACTTTAGAAAGCGTTTCAAGAAAGTTATCTGCACCAAAACTTTTTATATTTGAATAGAGTAGATTTATTATTTGGTGTTTGTGGAAATAAGCTGAACGAAGACACTTCACTCCTAACTCCTAGTCGCCATTGTTTATCCCAGGCTCACTGCTCTGATTGATAATGATGTACTTACTACAGTATGGAGCCTTGTCTCTCCAAGCACCAAGAGTGGCAACTCCCTTCTCCTGGCACTCCTTAACATACTCCTTAACCGCGTGGCACGCGCACGAGTTATCATAACAAGAACATGTGTCGTATTTACAGTTGTACAGAGCAGTCTCCACGTCTACTACCCCGTGGCAGTCAGAGAATGGTGCCGCTGTTGGGGGAAGTGGTGTTGTTATGGTGTTATTGATTGGCTGGAAATTTATCTAAAATTGGCAGATGATAATTTATGATTTTTCTCGTTTTTCGGAGCTGAACTTCCTGTAAACCGATAAATGGTATTTCTCTCTTCTTACCCATGAGGATATCACAGGCCTGGTCTGCGATAGGCTTGGCAGTAGGGAAGAAGGTATCGTCACAGGGGTGCGGTGGCTGGGGTTCCTCCTCACAAACGTCACCTTTAAGAGGTATCTTTTAGCTTTTTGAAGGTTTGTACAATTAGACTTATTTGTGCGATTTAAATGACCGCCGCTTTAAAGTAGATACTTGTATTTCTGTGCATGAAAGTTGTAATGTCCTTCTAGATCTGCTGCAGTTTGCACTTTGCAGTCTAATTATAATCACCATCTATCTTCCAAGACCACCCGAACTCGTTAAGATCGTTTTCCTCTCCCGCGCTGCTAATCTGATCGTTTTCAGCGTTATCGTCCCAGGATCCACATAGCCCGGTAGTACCTTGGTAGTACATGCCGTGGATGGTGGAGGATACTGTGCTGTTACCGTCCCAGATCAGATCTAGAGCTTCTAATCCGTCGTTGAGTTTCAGTTTTACGATAATCTGGTAAACTTCAGTTTAAGGATAATTTGCGGAGTTTTGAACAGCCATCAAACATCATATTTCATCATTCATCTGTATTTATAGGTACACACTACACCGCATTCTCTAGTTCCACTCGCACTAATGAATATTAACATCGGCAATTTTTATTTTTCATAATATTGGTTGTTGGCGGGATATAAACTCAATATTTCATTAGTTGAAGTCTATTCGTTTGTCTGCTGTTTAACTAAATCTAATACTAAGATCAAATTTCAGAATCCCCCCTTTCCAACTTCGGTACGTGTCAAACTAGAGTCTAGGTAGCGTACTCTAGTTCGACGAGTGTTTTCTGCTTGTGATCCAACGGCTATTTCCGGGTCCCTATCACAAGATTACAGGTAAGGGTTCAATGGCAGGTGCTCGACATCAGAAACTTCAAAACGTTTAGGATAATTTTTGAAACAATTTTCCGACATCTAGCAACCATGAGCGGTTGGAAATTTCAGAACCTTTCATAATTGATAATTGTAGACTAAGCGGAGAGATAATTTGTTCAGTGACATTAAATCATGAGATTTGGAACAATGATAACATTGATCAGCTTCTTACAGTAAGATTCATGGCTAGCCCTTGGTTGAGCAAACTGGTTACGCAGTTCCAAACTATTAAATCTATATCATAGCATATCTTAGCGAACTCGATATGGACAATAGATCATACGCTGATAAATATTGACCACGCACCACACACTTCTTGATATATGCACAAACTTTATCAATCTATTTTCATGTTTGCCAGACCGCAAACCATGGTTACTAGATGTCAGAAAATTGGTTTACAAATTATCGTAAACGTTTTGAAGTTTCTGATGTCGTGCACCTGCCATTGAACCCTTACCTGTAATCTTGTGGGGGACCGGAAGCAGAAAACACTCGTCGAACTAGAGTACGCTACCTAGACTCTAGTTTGACACGTACCGAAGTTGGACAGGGTTGATTTCTGACGAACTTAAGTTGTCCAACCAAAATACGTGTATTAGTATTTTAGTTATATATATATATATATATTAGTTAATTAGTTAATTAGAATTCGACCAAAAAACTTACGCTTTCGCCGGCTCTCTTGATCGTCATTTCCTCAGCGGTGCCAGGCCATATTTTAGCGTAAGGAGGGGTCTTCTTTTTACCGTTTACCGTCAGTTCTCCTTCTGGTCCGAGATATACTTTAACCTCTGAAAGATGAAGTGGTGCTAAAAATATTATTTTGAGCAAGGGGTTCACAGGTGTATTTATTTGTGGCATTAAAGTTGTATATTTAGCTAAAATTATAATTCGAAGAAGTCATACTATTGATGATAATTTCCACGGCATCATTCCAAGCTACATTCTTGTTGTCACCCCTGTGTTTATTTGTTCCAATGACCTCAAAGTCTTCGGTTTTTATCTGAAATAGAAGCATTTAAGGACGAGTTGATTCCAGCTGTGCTTCCCTAGATATCAACAGTTCACTTTCTCAGAGATTAAAGATCAATAGTTTCGTTGCAATTGATATCACTTACGACGGTGAATCTGCAGTTTCCTCCCTGGAAGTCGTGTCTGTGTCCATCAAAACTCTTGTAATGGGGATCTCCTGTTACCAGACAAGTAGCTGGTTCTGAAGGGGATTGGATGGTCAGGATATAATTAGGAACTATTAACATAAAATATAAATGATTTTTCTTCATCATTACATTGCAATGTTGAGTGGAGTTAACTGAGTAATGTCTATAATAATTGGGATTACGCGACAAGATACACGAGTATCGGCATTCAATGCAATTACAGTTTCAACACCGTGTTTTGGTTCAGCCGAAATGAATTTTACAATTATTTTTTGCATAATTTTTTTCACTCCAGCTGCAGTCTGGTAGTGCTGAGTATCACGATAATTTTTAGCTCTCTTATTCCATGTTTTTGTTTGCCTCATATTAGATATTTTGATTTTTGTAAATGCAACTGTAATGCATTAATGTAAAATTTATTTGAATTTTGAAATAAAGAAAAGGTTCCCCGCCTTTAGCGCACAGTTCCTGACAGTTCCCATCAGTGTACAACTCCTCGCCCTCCTCACACGTGACTCCTTGTTCCTTACACTCACACTCTATCTCTCCCGCTGTATTACACGTGCACAATTCAAACTCTCCTTCATCCCACGACTCCGTCTCCTGCAAAGTTATTGTATGTTTTGAATTTAGCTTTATCTTTTGCAAATGCCAAATCGGCCCTCCCAAAAAGCAATTCCACAATAAATTTGGTTGATTGATTCGGGTGCCAGAGTGAATCAGTAAACGTTGTAATAACTGTGATTATGTATTCAATTATTTGTTTAATTAGTTACCTAACGAACCTCATAATCCCCCACATCAGTGTAACAGACAGCGATGACCTTTAGTTCTATATCAACACAATCTGTCACCTCCTCTTTAGTTACACACGCTTTGTATATCCCCTCTTCCTCATTGTCTGCATCACATACCTGTTGTGGTTTTGTATTCATTTTCACTCGGTCAGAGTTATTGGGATTTTATCATTTGCTGCGCTGGGTAAATAATAGATATCAAATAATAATTATCAAATAATAATATGTAATGGATGGGAATATTTTAGCTAGTTTCGAAACCTGACAGCAAAAGTAAGGACGCTTTTAACTATTTATTGAAAAGCCCAGAATTTTGTTTTTTTCAAACAAAAGTAATCTTTTGGTAAAACAAAACAAAACTGTTCGTAATAAAAATCAAAAAATTCAAAAAAATCAAAAAAAATCAAAAAAAATCAAAAAAAATCAAAAAAATCAAAAAAATCAAAAAAATCAAAAAAATCAAAAAAATCAAAAAAATCAAAAAAATCAAAAAAATCAAATTAAACGACTCGATTAACTCATTACCTTGAGAGTTTTTCCACCATCTTGTAGTGTAAACTTTCCACCCTCGAAGTCTACTGGTTTATCAGCAGGTCCCATAAACCAGTTGAAGTTTTCAGCTTCAAACTCATCATCACTCAATATTCTAACCTGAAACAAATCAAGAGATTACTATCGTATCCCTTCATTTTTTGTTTCAAATGAGGAAAGTTTATTTACTAAAATTTCTTCATTGGTATAAAATAATCATGAAAATTCTCTTAATAATTCAATCAATTATCCTTGTTGGATCCTCACAATAATCCTCCTCCACTCACCGACATAGTCTGACACTCTCCCTTTATAACGACCCTAGGAGACTCTCCATCAATATCAATGTAATCAATTGCAGGTACTGGAATAACCACCATGTCGAACGTACATTCTCCTACCACACCGTTAAACACTATTTCTGTTTTGTAGTCGTTATCATCGTGTTTGTACACTGGCTGTGGGGTTGATGGGTTTAGCTGTAGACTATTATTGTAATTATGCTGTGTAATTATGTGAATTAATTTCACCTTGACAGTAGTGTTTTTATTTATTAGATACCCATTTAAGCTTTGTATATGATAGCTTTAAGCCAGTCCATAGAATATGGGAATATTTAACTTACATCAACGGTAAGGGTAAGTCTATCTTCACTGAGTTTGAAGTTGTCAGGTAGGCCCTCTGGGTCCAGTACGTCTCCGTTACTCAGCTTCCATGTGATCTGTAGTTAAAAAGAATAAAAAATGTTGTCTGGAATATTCCATAATAACTCTATTCAACTTCGCCTTAAAACTAAAATATATGTCTGCTGAGTGCTGATTTGCTTTTAACAGCTTAAGATCAATATAGCTTGTATTTCACGGCTGGGATGATAAACCATGTGGGCAAATGTCAGCTACGACAGTGATATCTTTTGTCTACAATTTGTTATCGTTTAGCCATTTTTTGATTAATAATCTTTATGAGACAGTTTTCTCACATATTTACCAATTTTGTCAGCATGAATACACAGTTGTTACTTTGAAACGTCGTTTATCCTAACAGTGCAGTATCATTTGTCGCAAGAAATCAGAATAATCAGAAATTATTTGGAACTCTCAACAACTGTCTATGGTGATATCTTTGTTAAGCCTCATCAGATATGATATCCTACGATCTATTCAATCAACTTGTTGACAATACGAGAACACCTGGTCATCATTGGAAACTGTGCCTCTACACACTACACACAATACAACAATTCGGAGAACGATTGAGATAATCAGAGCTAAATTGAGGAGTTAAAAACATTAACAATAAACAAACTAAGAACAGAAACCAGCTATTTGTCATAAAACCATTTACCCATTGGCAATTTTGATTTTTAACTGAGCTGCATTCTTTATTAGTTAAAAATATTTGATAAAAAGTAACACTCACATCATCAGGCGAAACAAGTACACTTTCATGTAGCACACACTGCATAGTTGCAGGTCCTTCGTATCATATCAACCCTCCTCACAACTATCCTTGCTTACCTTGCGGACAATATCAACCCTTATCACAACTATCCTTGCTTACCTTGCGGACAATAGCAACCCTCCTCACAACTATCCTTGCTTACCTTGCGGACAATAGCAACCCTCCTCACAACTATCCTTGCTTACCTTGCGGACAATAGCAACCCTCCTCACAACTATCCTTGCTTACCTTGCGGACAATAGCAACCCTCCTCACAACTATCCTTGCTTACCTTGCGGACAATAGCAACCCTCCTCACAACTATCCTTGCTTACCTTGCGGACAATATCAACCCTCTTCACAACTATCCTTGCTTACCTTGCGGACAATAGCAACCCTCCTCACAACTATCCTTGCTTACCTTGCGGACAATAGCAACCCTCCTCACAACTATCCTTGCTTACCTTGCGGACAATAGCAACCCTCTTCACAACTATCCTTGCTTACCTTGCGGACAATAGCAACCCTCCTCACAACTATCCTTGCTTACCTTGCGGACAATAGCAACCCTCTTCACAACTATCCTTGCTTACCTTGCGGACAATAGCAACCCTCTTCACAACTATCCTTGCTTACCTTGCGGACAATAGCAACCCTCCTCACAACTATCCTTGCTTACCTTGCGGACAATATCAACCCTCCTCACAACTATCCTTGCTTACCTTGCGGACAATAGCAACCCTCCTCACAACTATCCTTGCTTACCTTGCGGACAATAGCAACCCTCTTCACAACTATCCTTGCTTACCTTGCGGACAATAGCAACCCTCTTCACAACTATCCTTGCTTACCTTGCGGACAATAGCAACCCTCCTCACAACTATCCTTGCTTACCTTGCGGACAATAGCAACCCTCCTCACAACTATCCTTGCTTACCTTGCGGACAATAGCAACCCTCCTCACAACTATCCTTGCTTACCTTGCGGACAATAGCAACCCTCCTCACAACTATCCTTGCTTACCTTGCGGACAATAGTAACCCTCCTCACAACTATCCTTGCTTACCTTGCGGACAATAGCAACCCTCCTCACAACTATCCTTGCTTACCTTGCGGACAATAGCAACCCTCCTCACAACTATCCTTGCTTACCTTGCGGACAATAGCAACCCTCCTCACAACTATCCTTGCTTACCTTGCGGACAATAGCAACCCTCCTCACAACTATCCTTGCTTACCTTGCGGACAATAGCAACCCTCCTCACAACTATCCTTGCTTACCTTGCGGACAATAGTAACCCTCCTCACAACTATCCTTGCTTACCTTGCGGACAATAGCAACCCTCTTCACAACTATCCTCGCTTACCTTGCGGACAATAGCAACCCTCCTCACAACTATCCTTGCTTACCTTGCGGACAATAGCAACCCTCTTCACAACTATCCTTGCTTACCTTGCGGACAATAGCAACCCTCCTCACAACTATCCTTGCTTACCTTGCGGACAATAGCAACCCTCCTCACAACTATCCTTGCTTACCTTGCGGACAATAGCAACCCTCCTCACAACTATTCTTGCTTACCTTGCGGACAATAGCAACCCTCCTCACAACTATTCTTGCTTACCTTGCGGACAATAGCAACCCTCCTCACAACTATCCTTGCTTACCTTGCGGACAATAGCAACCCTCTTCACAACTATCCTTGCAACCAACAGGGAAAGGATCGGAACAGGTAGCGAAACATCCTTTACCACAACTATCATATACCATAGAATCAGGGCACTCTTTCGGACAGAAATTACTGGATCTCCAACCTGGAGTGGTTATATTAATGCTTTTCATACAAAGTTACAACAAAGTCTTCATGTTATGTATCCTGGGTTTGGACAGGATATTAGTTTCAGTAAAAATGTATTGATCACGTGACAGTCCTCTAAGGGTTATTTCAAATCTGGTTATTTTGAATTTAATAATAATAACTGCTTCTCTATTAGCTGGTTCTAGCTAAAAGATCGTAATTCAGTAATCTGTCTCACCTACTACAGGGTTTCCTGAATCAGCACATTGCTTAGCATAGATAGCAGCGTTCGAACATACATTAACATCACTGGAAGGATCGATGCAGGTATCAAACATACAATTCTGAGAGAAGTTATGATGTTATTTGGACACTGTAATATACGCTATCAAAGGATTATTATTATCTTTGAAGACCTTGAAGAACCATTTTTTTAGCGCAATGTTACAAATCATTGTGAGCGTGTGAAATTCCTCTTCAGAAAAGTGCATGCAGAGCACCTCCCTCGGCTTGGCATTCTTCAGTGCGCGCAATGTTGCTTCAGTGTGCACAATGTTGCTTCAGTGTGTACAATGTTGCTTCAGTGTGCACAATGTTGCTTCAGTGTGCACAATGTTGCTTCAGTGTGCACAATGTTGCTTCAGTGTGCACAATGTTGCTTCAGTGTGCACAATGTTGCTCCAGTGTGCACAATGTTGCTTCAGTGTGCACAATGTTGCTTCAGTGCGCGCAATAATACTTTCAGCGCTGCTATATAACAAATAATTTGAGTTCAGGAATAGCATGTACTAGTACCCCCAAAGGGGAGCCGTGAGTAATTCGTTGTTTGTTTGCTGTGCTGTCTTTATTAGCTGTGTGTTGCTTGGCTGTGTGATGTCAGGTACAGGTATAAAAACACCATCTACCGGAAATAGACGTGGCTCTGTGACAGGAACAGGGCAAAACACTAAAAAAGAGCATCATAATGTTGATAGATGCCCATGTAGCCATTCGAATGCTGGAAGCTTCAAGCTAGTATGCACAGGATGCAAACAGAACTGGCATGCAGATTGTCTGGGACTAAAGGGTATCACGAAGCCGTCAATATTGAAGCTGGAACAGTGGTTATGTCCATTTTGCTACGTAGCACCTGTACCAACCAACTCACACGACAACTTCTGCTACAAATGTCGGAACACCCTGAGTCTACAACAGTCCAATAGTGATTATGAGGTACACTCTGCCTGTCAGAACCTCAAAGACATAGAAACCTTGACAAAATCACTATCAACAATTGATGTTGATAAAATGAAAGAGTCAATCCAGGTGATCCAAAACCTCGACCTTCACCTGCAACACCTGCTAACCAATGAACATGGTTTGAAAGACCACCAAAACCGGGTCAAAAGCATAGAAGACCACTGTAAAGGAGAACTAAGTGAAGATGTGAATGGTGTTAAAACGGCTATTGAGGACCTTCAGAAACAAATCACTGATCTTTCCACCAAAGGTCTTGTCTCATCTACTGCTCCCAAGCTTGACACTGAGAAACTGATACATGATATCATTGACCAGCTTGATGAACATACTCGGCAGGAACCGCACATTTCTCTTGAAGGATATCAAGCAGTCTCTAGACCAACTGTCTACCCAACAGACTACAATTCCTCACGATAAGCCATCATCTGGCTCTGCATTAAATGATAAGCACCTTCTATCAAAGACCATCTTTAAAAATGAAGAAAAACCTGTGGCAGACACAGTGGAAGAATTCATAGACAGTGATGCTGAATCAGATCTTCTCCAGTACTGCGAATCTCTTCAGTTCAGCCAGGAGAATGGGCACTCAGTGTGTTCGTTTGGAGAGAAATACAAATACAGTGGATCCAGGGATGAGAACAAGAAAAATGCAGAAATACCGGAGAAACTGGCTGCGCTCATCCTGAAAATTAATGAGAAGTTCTGTGCAGAAGAAAATCCTGTAATGAATAGCGTGTTGATCAACCGCTACGAAGAAGGCGAGGGTTACCTGCCAGAACATTCTGACAACGAACCAGTGATACATCCAGAATCTAGCATATTGACTCTTTCCATTGGAGGTGAATGCGAAGTCCTCTTCACTGAAATGAACAACTCAGTTCACACACACAAGTGTACCCCCAGGTCAGTTTACAGGATGACCAGAAGGAGTCAGGCTCACTACAAGCACTCTATCCAGAAGGGGTCAGTCACTGGTGCAGTACGATATAGTTTTACTTTCAGATCAATAGACGGAAAGAATCGTGCTAGTACTTGTATCTTCTCTGATTCAAACGGATCAGGTATGAAATTTGGAGAGGATCACAAGAGGAGCTTTGGTAAATGGCTGCCTGGTCGGAATGTTTGGACTCCGACAATAGATGACATTAACCCATATCTTGCATGTGGATACAAGAACGTTGTTATTATGTGTGGTATTAATGATGTTAGAAGACCATCTGTTAAATCTCAACGTGAAATTTTTGCTATATTTAGTCTTTTAGAATTCAAGATTGAGCAAATCCAAGAGGCCAATCCAACTGCTCAAGTATTTCTTTGTCCACTTTTACCAACTCGAAATACTGACTTAAATAGGAAAGTTCTATACTTTATAGAGCTTATTCGACGTGAGCTACTTCCCAAAAACTTTGGTGTCCAGTTCGTTGATGGCTTTGATGACTTCCTGGATAATAACACTGGCTTACTTTGCCCAACCTTGTCCAGGGAGTTTGACAAATATGGCCGGACGGATTACCTGCACCTTAATTGGAAGGGAGTGGCCAAACTTGCTACTTTAATCCGTAATACTGTCCTTGTTAGGATGCATGGAGGGACTGATAGGAGGAAGAGGGGTAGGAGGGACGGTAAGGTTGGTTCAACACTTTATTCTCATGCCGCCGGAGGACAGCCTCATGTTGAAGGCTATCAGCCTCCAGTATGAATGTTCTTAAAAAAGAGGTCTGTGCCCACTGTTTAAAAAGTATCTATCTAGGTCAATCTATATTTGAATGCTACAACTGTAACTGTCCCATTCACTCTAGATGCTATAACACCAGTGACAAACAAAATCAAAAAGTTGACTTGTACTGCAATAATTGTCTCCACCTAGCAGTAATCCGTTATAACCCATTCAAGCTTCTGAATGATGACAATGATGATAACACTGATGCAGATGATGTTACACGTAAAATCTCTGAGGTACTTGAAAGCTGTGACTCATATTCTGTAAAAGGCATAAACCACACCTTTGCTCACGAATTACAAGTGCAAAACTCACTAATATTTCAAAATCTTGATGGCAACAAATCAAACTTTGACTCGCTGGCAATTGAAATAGCTAGATTTACTAACAAATTCTCTGTAATTGGTCTCGCTGAAACAAATGTTGGCCCTGAATTGAAAAACTTGTACGAACTCACAGGCTATGAGAGCTTCTATCAAGATACCTTTGACTCGAAAGTAAAAGGCTCAGGAGTAGCTCTATATGTCCTTAACTCCTTTAATGCTGTTAAAAATAACAACCTGTCACAAGTAACAGAAAATCTAGAAACCCTCTTTGTAACCATAGGAAGTATAGGAAATTCTACTTCTATAGGAGTAATATACCGCCCTCCAAGTGGCAATGCTGAGCAAGCTCTCCAAGAATTGTCGTCAATCCTTGATAAAGCACCAAAACATACACAAATTGCAGGTGATTTTAACATTAATCTCCATGGTAAACACAGTAACATTATTGCACAGTATGAAGACGTCCTATTCAGTAGAGGCTTCTTCCCATTGATATCATTAGCAACTCATGAAAAGCCTGGATGTAATGCCTCATGCATCGACAACATCATTACAAATGACCTAGACTCTGTTACTGCCTCTGGAGTCATAACTGATCACATATCTCACCACCTCCCTATATTTAATATATCTGACTGGGAAATTAGCAAGACCAAAAATACTCATAAGCACACTCAATATTATGACTATTGTAAGTCAAACACTGATAAATTTGCTGAAGTCTTGGGTAATAAACTAGATAATGAACCAATTATAGATTTTACCAACTTTCATGATATCTTTAAAAACAGCATTGACGAAACCTGCAAACTAGCTGTACCCAAAACCACTAAGCGCACTATCCAGAACAACCCCTGGATTACTGGCGGGATTATAGCCTCAGTAAACCACTGCCATGGACTGTATGATGACTGGGAGTTGATAAACGAAGAGGACCGACTAGCAGAGTTGACGGGAGACCCTTCAGTCCAGTTGCCAGAGGAGGAGGCGGGTACAGTTACCAGGTATGGTAACTTTCTCAAATAAGGAAAAATGCAGTCACTGCCTTAAGAGCTTATGTTTAGGTCAAAAATTTGTTGAATGTTTTAAATGTAATTGCATTATACATGAAAAATGTTTCAAAAACTCTGAAGCAACCGTGATCAACTCAAATTACTTTTGTAGTCAGTGCAAAGCGCTAATCCTTAAACAGTACAACCCGTTTAAAGATATGATTAGTAAGTCGGATAACAATAACAACGACCCCTTGATTCTGAAAATGTCACAAGTTCTAGAATATTGTAAGCCTTACTCCACCAACAAATTTAATAACGAACTTAGTGCCGATCTTCATAAAAATGGTGGCTCTTTCTTCCTGAATATCGACGGCAATAAAAGCAACTTCGACCATCTCATATCTGAATTAGAGTGCCTCAAACACAATTTCCCTATCATAGGCCTTGCCGAAACCAATATTAGCCCAGAAGAGAGTTCCGTTTACCCTATTAATGGATTCAATAGTTTCTACCAGACTACAATGCATAACAAATCGAAAGGAACGGGCGTTGCAGTTTATGTTCACAATGCTTTTAATGCAGTCGTTAATGTAGATGTATCAAACGTCACCAGTAATTTAGAAAGCCTCTTTGTGACTATTCATCAAGAATCTAAAACTATAAACGTAGGAGTAATCTATAGACCCCCTAGTGGAGACATTGACGAGTTTCTCGCTGAGCTACAAGTAATTATGGGTAAACTCCCAAAGTTAAATGTACATGTAATGGGTGATTTTAATATTAACCTCCATAACGGCAATAGAAGATGCACACAAGAATTAGAAAACATAATGCTCGGATTAGGGTACTCACCAACGATATCTATCCAAACACACGAAAAGCCTGGATGTAAACCATCCTGTATTGATAATATTTTCACTAATGAAATCGAAAGCACGTTGTTTACAGGAACGTTGCAACTCAATGTTTCTCACCACCATGCCATCTTTCAAATCAATAGTTGTCTTAATTTTGTAGCTGATGAACCTAAACTTAAACACGCACAATATTACGACTATAGCACC